GCTGGGATGTAGCTCAGTGGTAAAGTGCCCCGGTTTCAATACCCAGTACCCAAAAAAAGAAACGCAGACACTTTTCCAAGCTGGCAATGACAGCCTCTCTTGAAATCTCAGGTATTTTCATATAGCAACAGAAAATGGACTGAGGCACTCACCAGTAATAACAGAAACAGACCATGAGTGTAGCTTTGAGATCTCTGCAATATAAACACCACAATTAAGGAATCCCAAAGTCCATGCTTTTCAATGGGCATTTACAGCACTTGTCAGTATTCCTTATCCCAATATAGTTTACCAATGAGCAGTCTTTTTGTTTTCTTTTGGAGTGCTATGGGTCAAATACAGGGCCTTCTGCACACTTGGCACTCTATCACTTAATTAAATCCCTAGCCAAGGAGTCATATTTAATTATAAATAATATTACCAAGTATTACAGATGACATTCCATTATTATTTTGCCTTGTGAGTATCCAAAGAGTGCTGACGAGTAAACTCATCAAGTGCAGTGCCACAGTTATCAGAATACAATTTCTATTTTTTTTTTTTGTACTCGGGATTGAACCCAGGGGCACTTTACCACTGAGCTACATCCCTAATACTTTTTTATTTTTTGAGACAGAGGCTGTCCAAGTTGTTTAGGGCCATGCTAAGTTGCTGAGACTGGCCTCAAATCCAACGATCCTTCTGCCTCAACTTCCCAAGTCCCTGAAATTACAGGCGTGCACTATCAAACCCCATCCCAGTTTCTATCTTGTTTCTTTGCCCATAATGGCTTCTATTTCCAAGGTTACCTTAAAACCCAAGAACTCTGCTGGGGTTCATGCCCCCATACTCATGTTTCAGCAAGAAGAAAAAGATCATCCTACACACTTTCCTTTACGCCTTTCAGTTGTAGCATCACTGAACACTTCCACGTCCAAGTCAGTGGCCATAACTTTAATCATATGACTACATGTATCTGCAAAGGAAGCCGGGACTTTGTTAACCTGAATAAATTCTGGGATTCTGTTACAAAGTAAAAAAGGGAGCCTGTAATCCCAGTTACTCCAGAGGCTAGTTTGGGTAATTTAGCAAGACC